TTTGGGCTTTGTTTTATTATCATGTATGTATGGGTGAGTACAGGCATGCATGCGTCAAGGTGCATGTGTGTAAGTCAGACAGTTCTTTCCTTCAACCACAGGTTCTAGGGGTCAAACTCAGGTCACCTGGCTTAAGCCACAAGCCTTGCCTGTTAAGCCATTTTGTTGGCCCAGTGGTTTTTTTTTTTTTTTGTTTGTTTTTTTGAGACATGGTTTCACTATATATCCCAGGCTAGCCTTGAATTTATAATCGTCTTGCTTCTGCCCAGAATGCTTGGGTTTATGGGCATGTGCCACCACACCAAGCCTCAAAAATGTTTTTAAGTCGAAGAAAAAAAAAAAGAAAAGAAAAAAAAAATAGGAGAATCAAGATTGGAAATTTCTGCCGTGTCCCATCATCGCTCTGACTGAAATAAGCACAAGGCCAGGAGACGGGGGTCTAGGGCTCGGGCCCTCTATCTCGTAGCTCTGTGATCTGGTCCTGTTTTATCTGGAAAAATGATGACTTTATGGACCACTGCAAATATCGTGCTCTATTTTTTATTTGGTGGTGGTGGTGGGGTTTGTTTTTGTTTAGTTGGTTGTCTGGTTGGGTTTTTTTTTGGTTTTCCTTTTGAGACAGGGTCTCTCTCATATAGCCCCAGCTGGCCTCAAACTCACTCCACAATCTTCCTGCCTCAGCCTTCCCAGGGCTGGGATTACAGCAGTGCACTAAACACACACACATGAAAACCTCATGTTGCTAACAGACACACCTAGTAACAAGCACCCCTAGTATATTCAAAATAGCTCCGCCCCTAAAAGCTGAATCACATAGAATTTCTCAGGGCTGCATCTCCTTGGGGTTCACTCCCCTGTACCCTGCAGCATGCTAGAGGTTAAGAAGAGACTGGGCCACAGTCTGGTCTCTAAGAAGGCCTAGGCTGCAGCTTAATTGGCTCAGATCTATGCAAATGAGAGAAGAGAAAGGCCGGCTGAGGCTGCCCATGGCAGAGCTCTTCTTGTCTGATCTGGGTCCCTTCGTGGGAGAGGGCTGGAAGCCCCACGTAGGCTCCACACAGTTTTGTTTCTAGGTCTTTGTCCTCTCTTCCTATCAATCCAGATGCGGGACAGTTTGAGAGGCAGACCTATTCAGACCCCTATCTCCCGGCAGATAGCAATCCGAAGCCTGGGTAATGTGAAACAAGGGTCTCTGGACACTCCCCGCCATGACAATGAAGTGTGCTAGGCAGACACCATCATCTCACGCAGTGGGAGCAGTCTCAAAGAACGGGACAAAGCGTGAGAAAGGCCTGCAATTGCAGAAGCCAAGCCAACAAAGGGGCAAACTTCCGCCCACACAGACCTCAGCAAGAGCCAGTTCTTGATTTGGGGTTTATTCAAAGCCGTTCTCAAAAAATAAAAAATTAAAACTAGAAAGGGAGAAAAAAAAAAAAAGAAAATCTTCTCTAATGGGGTGTGGGGGTAGTGTAGCCCAACGGTGAAGATCAGAGGAAAGGGGTGTCAGGAGAGCCACTGTGCTGCTGTTACTTGTTATTTCCTTCCTTCCTTCCTCTGTAGACCAGGCTGGCCTCCAACTCACAGAGATCCACCCTCTCTGCCTCCCGAGCACTGGGATTAAAAGCGTGCGTCATCACGTCCTACTTGCTGTCATTTCTTTAGGTGAGATCAGTTTGGTGTCCATCCATCCTTTTACTCATCCACTAGACATTAACTCCTTCAAGAAACAAAGTTAAAATTCAAGTCGCCTCAGAGCTGACAAAATAATTCAGTCATTACATACCAAGATAGTGAGTTCCTCATAAAGACTGCATGTGAACAGAGGGCATTTGAGGAAGGAGGGAAGATTCTGGGTTTGAGGGCAGACCACTATAAAAGAAATAGAAAAGCTGGAGGTGGTGGTGGTGCACGATTTTAATACCAGCATTTGGGAGGTAGAGGCAGGCAGAT